CACGGATCAGCTTGGTCGTCATCTTGTATAAACCTTCTACAACCCTTTGTAAACCTTCTTGAAATCCTTCTTTGAGCCACAGGACAAGACGGGACCTTCTCTAAACCTTAGGTTAAACCACAGAACATAATCCAGACCACAGGCCACAGGTGGGGGTGGGGGACCTTCTCTAAACCTTAGTTTAGACCGCAGAACATAACCCAGACCACAGGCCACAGGGGGGGGGGGTTGGGAGGGGATACCATGTGGATGCTGGCGCATATAGAGATGTGCTTCCAGACATGTGGCCTCCTTTGGGGGGATAGGGAGGGCGTTTGATCGCAGTAAGAGAGGATTCTAAGCAGTTTTTGGCTTACGCGTGCAAACTGTACAGCATACCATGGTGGCCGGTGGGGGCTTAGGGCATCGGACCTGCCTGAGCCATGTGAGAGTTTTTTTGATACTAGAAATCCTGCATGACCTTCCTGTACTGAAGTACCATAATTTCCTAGGTACAGGTTACTAAGGGTCATGCAGGATTTTCAGCATCCATGGTAGTAGGGTCATATCTATAAGGGTACATCCTGATGAGGATCCAGGACGCTGAGCAACTGGCATCTCAGGTTTGGGCCCCAATTTGAGTCATGTAAGCCAAAGCTGTACATCTTGGTCGCTTGAACTTCCCTATCCTCAACTACACTCACCATTCTGGGTAGGCCCCCTGGAATATTTAATATTTCCCTAATGGCTTTAGTAGAGGACCATACATACTAATATTCTTCAATGGGTTTTAGGGGCCAACCTACCAGTCATCACCCGTGAACTCTTGAAACGTTCAAACTCCCTGAAGGAGGCATCCCGAGATGGGAACATCTGCCTAAATCCTGAACCCTGAACCTTCAAAACCTTTCCTCACAGCACCACCACCTCCCCCCCAAAAAACCAAAGAAATATATATATATATATAATGAGACACTACTACTAATAATATTAGGAATAATCATAAACCCTAAAACCTGAAACCCTAAACCCATCTCCGTTTGCAATCCTCCAACCTTAGCTCTCTTTCCTTCCGAGTGCCTATCAGCCTACCTCTGTTGGCCCAGCCCAGGCCCTGGCAATCCGAAGCTAGGGTTTTAGGATTTTAGGGTTTTAGGGTTTTGGGGTTTAGGGTTTTAGGGTTTCAGGGTTTAGGGTTTTAGGGTTTAGCGTTTTAGGGTTCAGGGTTTTAAGGTTTGGGGTCTATAGGGTTTTAGGGTTGAGTGTTTAAGGTTTAGGATTTAGGGTTAACTTACGGTCCGATGGCCACAGTCCTGAACCCTACCACACTAAAGCCCCTAATCCCTAAACCCTAAACCCTAAACCCTAAACCCTAAACCCCAGACCCTGACACCTTCACAGTTTACATCAGAAGCTCGTGACCCTTAAGCCCTAAAGCCCTCAAACATTACATAAAGCCCTAAGCCCCCAAATCCTTAACCCTAAAACCCTAACCATCAACCCTGAAACCCTAAAACATAAATCCTCAAACCCTAAACCCTAAACCTACACCTTAAACCCTACACCTGAAAACCCTAACTCCCCAGTCGTCCCGCGTGCCTCAGATCCCACGATGAACGTGGGCTACCACGGTGCATCATCAACTCAGATTCTTGACGCAACGCCTCTCTATATGGGGCTTAAAACAGTATAATAAACAGGGTTTTAGGGTTTAGGGTTCTCTAGGGTTTGGGTTTCAGGGTTTAGGGCTGGGTTTTAGCGTTGAGGGTCTCCTTCAGGATGTATAGCAAAGTATCCGTGATGTAGGATTTACCTAGACCCTCCGATGCCGCATTTTTGTTTTGCTTTGGCGAGCTTTAGCCATTTTATGGGTCAGGGTTTAGGGTTTAAGTTCCGGAGGGTTAGGGTTTAGGGCGTGCTCATCCAGTTTCTCCCAATATTAGACGTTCGCCAAACCTTGTAACGTTGAATAACCTACGTACAAACCCAAGGATGTGAGCTGGCATGCCTGATCAACATGTGCGTGGACACGCCTAATGATAGGGGATGTGGGGTATTCACTGTAAGGGAGACGGGAGCACAGAGAAATTACGCTCGGGTAGATTTTTCAACAACTGTACTAATGAAACTTCAAGACTACGGGATTGGAATTCTCATGTTTGTTTTGATTCCCGTTAGAATTCCTGTTTAAGCCCCTGCATAATCGCCAAATATCATTGGAAATTCCTCGAGATCTCTACATTCCAGCCAGTCCATAGCCACTATCAAAACCTCCGATCAACCCTAAAACCTGGAATCCTAAGCTTAGATGCTGAACTTTGCCCAAAACCCTGAAAAGACACAGATCATGTTCCGAATCCCAGGGTCCTAAATCCAAAAACTCTTACAAGGAACTTGGTGTGCCTCAGCACCCTGTCCCAGAAGTATGAGTGCAAGGCCCCAGCAGAGTGGGTGCCCTGGCTGAGGCCGCTTTTGCCGAGAGGGTTGTAGGGGTTTGGCTGTGTTGGTTTGCTGGGTTGTTGGGTGGCAAGCCCTGACAGAAAGATAGAGAGAGAG